TGTTCAGAGGTACAAAGTTTACTTTTTTAAACATGGCATTTAGTAGATTTTCACCAAAGTGATCCATTTCTAGATACGGTGGGACCCAAATGTCATGCCGAAATTGTAGAACTTTGAAAATAAAGTTTCCTTGGGGGATTAAAAAAGATTTTTCTAGTGTTCTTAAAAATAGTACCTAGTTCTTTCTTTGGGATATGAGGAGATATGTAAAGTTACAGAATTAGGTGATTTTGGAAAGTTGTTTGGTTAAGAATTGGCCGCATATTTCCCTTTGTCTCTTTAAGAACTGTCCTTGGTTCTACAGAAAAAACAAGACACTATGTCATAGTTTATATACTGAGGCATCACAGGAGAGTCTTCATGATGCTCTCCTATATTTAGAACATTCTGCAATCTCGTGATTCACAGAGCTTTTGATATGTGTGGGGTCTGGAGGGTCATCATCTTGGTATAAGAAGATTTATAGCGTCTCTTATATATCTGCAGAAACAGATGTCCAAAGGTTTCCCAGGAACGCAGTGGTTCTTTCCGAATGACTTTTGGATGATACATGTGTAAGCGAATCAGACAGATATCGATTAAATGTCCTCCTGACACAAAACAAATTGACCGGATGTGCAAAGGCTTTTGCAGAACAGCAGCACTTGATATCCCCCAATGACATGTGCTTGCTGATTTCTACCTAAGAGGTGAAAAGTGAAAATTTCGTTTGGAATTGTTTTAACAGAGCGAAGCAGAGGCAAGAAATAAGTTCGATGTGAGAAGTTTCCTGAGTTCCCCCATACTCATGTGGCCAGTGTGGGGAAAATACAAAGTAAAAAGAGAGATTTGGTCAGCCCAGGCTTCACACCACCCGGCCTCCTGCACACAGGCTAACAACCTCTGCACCCGGCCTCCTGCACACAGGCTAACAACCTCTGCACCCGGCCTCCTGCACACAGGCTAACAACCTCTGCACCCGGCCTCCTGCACACAGGCTAACAACCTCTGCACCCGGCCTCCTGCACACAGGCTAACAACCTCTGCACCCGGCCTCCTGCACACAGGCTAACAACCTCTGCACCCGGCCTGCTGCACACAGGCTAACAACCTCTGCACCCGGCCTCCTGCACACAGGCTAACAACCTCTGCACCCGGCCTCCTGCACACAGGCTAACAACCTCTGCACCCGGCCTCCTGCACACAGGCTAACAGCCTCTGCACCCGGCCTCCTGCACACAGGCTAACAGCCTCTGCACCCGGCCTCCTGCACACAGGCTAACAGCCTCTGCACCCGGCCTCCTGCACACAGGCTAACAGCCTCTGCACCCGGCCTCCTGCACACAGGCTAACAACCTCTGCACCCGGCCTCCTGCACACAGGCTAACAGCCTCTGCACCCGGCCTCCTGCACACAGGCTAACAGCCTCTGCACCCGGCCTCCTGCACACAGGCTAACAGCCTCTGCACCCGGCCTCCTGCACACAGGCTAACAGCCTCTGCACCCGGCCTCCTGCACACAGGCTAACAGCCTCTGCACCCGGCCTCCTGCACACAGGCTAACAACCTCTGCACCCGGCCTCCTGCACACAGGCTAACAACCTCTTGCTGCTTTCTAAGTTTAGCTCAGCTTTGTTGGGGCTGAAAAACCATGGTGGAAGTGGAGATTATGATAAGAATGAGAAAATTTGTTCTGTGAGTGAAAAAACTGACACTGCCTTTCAAGACAATATCAAGAGAAGTGACTAAGGAGGTTGTCACATAATGTCATTAAGAAAAAAAACCTGCCTCAACAAACAATTCTCAATGTAGATAAACAAGAGGAAAAAACCCTCACGAACAGTTAAATGAGGTACAGAAAGCTACACAGAGTCTGAAAGAGAGCTGGACGGAAATCAGGAAAGCCAGGACAAACTTTAAAGGTCAGGTAGAAGCATTAGTCAGCTGTCCCAGGAGCAGATTAGATCAAGCTGAAGAAGAGGAAGAAGTAACGGAAATTGGAGGCTGTCAGACAGAAAGAACAAAGGAGAACCAAAAAGGCATGAGGAGAAAAATGCAAGAGCATTGTGGTACCCATTAAAAGCAATATTCAGATCAATGCAATACCTGACGGAGGAGAGCTGCAGGTTTGGGGCATAGAAAACGTCTTCAGTAAAATAAAAGAAGAAAACTTCCCAAATCTTGAGAAGGACGCGGACACCCAGATGCACGAAGTATGTAGAACTTCAAACACACATGTCCCTAGAAGTAGATGTTATAGTTAGGTTGCTAACAGTACAGGTCAAAGAGGAATATTACACTTTGTGCAAGAGAGAAATGTCAAATAGAGTTTAAAGGCAAATATACTAAGGGAGCAGCAGGTTTCTCAGACATGACTCTAAATGCCAGGAGGTCATGGAATGATGTATTTCACATCCTGAAAGAGGATAACTTTAGCCAAGACTTTTGTACCCAGCAGGTTCCCCTTTGCAGTGGAAGAGGAAGTAAAGACCCTCCACAATAAGGAGAAATCAAGGAAATTCATTATCACTAGACCAGTGTTACAACACATACTTAAGGGAGTTCTGTTATCAGAGGAGAAAGAATTTAGTAAACAACATTATTAAGAATGTGAATAAGTCCCACTAGAAGGAGGGATATGCCAATGAAGTATAAGAAATAAATACTACCAATACAGTAAACCATCAGATTTATAAGATAAATAGGAAGACAGAAGCAAAAAAGCATATTTAAAGCTACTTGAAGGAAGACAAAATGAGATAAATTTATATGCCAAGTGTTGAAACGGCACATAATTTTATAAGAACAAAACACCACTGAACATAAAAAAGGTGTTTTAGGCCCTGACATAACAAAGGGTGACTTTTAAATAGCCAGAATAGCCCTGGCTATCCCAAAATTCATGTGAGAGCACAGGAAACCTCAGTAAAACTGTACTGGAAGCATACTATTGTAGCCACAAGAGGACATAAGGAAAACACATGAGATAAGACTTCTACAGGGGAGAAAGCAAGAACTGATGTCTGGAATTCCACTGAAAGGTTCTGCCCAGCAAGGCAGATGGGTTTCCCTCTGTCAACCCAGGCAGTGAAAAGGTCTGCGGTGGTTTGAATGAGACCAGCTCCCATAGGCTCATAGATTTGAACACTTACTCCCCAGTTGGTAGGGTTTTTGGGGAGAGATTAAGAGGTGTAGCACTCTGCAGGCTACCAAAGTTTAAATATAAATACCAATCCTATCACAAAACCTTTGACCTACTTTCTATCCTCCCTGAAAAATAAGCTAGGGCAATGGTGGCCCAGAACTTGTGAGAGTAGCCAATCAATGTCTGATTGGACATAAAACCACAAGACAGAATCCATACTCTATACTGTATGGGAAAAACAAGAACCAGAGATCAGGACTTTCAATGGGTTTCAGGGTCAGTACTCTTAGCTAGTTCTTCTAGCGAAGCAGAAAGCCAGGAAAAGCTTGGTAATATTTACATCAAATTGAAACTAAATCCATGAATGAAGAGAGTTCTATATGAACAGTTTCTTCAACATTTGTCAGAGTTTTAAGTTCACTGAGTATTACATGGATGCCCTTCCAAATGACTAACTTTGTTGTCACAATTACTGTTTGTTTCTGGTGGCTTGAAGCTCTTTACCCAGCCCCCACCCAAAGGTCTGTCTGCTGCCTCTTCTCTGTACACGTCTCTCCTCTTCCCAGAAGTACATTCCTTAAGACAACACCTTCTGCTTTTCAGAATGGGATTTAGGTAGACAATGGGGTGAGAAATGGGACACACAACAAATGGGCTCATTTTGGGGGGATACATAGAACTTCTAGTTGCTGCCCCAAATGGTAAATTACAAAAAAATGATGGGTACCCTAAAGACATGATGGATTTATTTATTCCATTTGTTCGACAGTTGACCAAGGGAAGGTACTTTTTCTAGCATTAAAACTGTTTCCTGGGAGGGAACTGAGGCACACTGGGAAACTGCATTAGCTGCCTTTGTCCATTAAGCAGTCATTGCTAACTAGACATGCAAATATTCATCAGACTACAGTGGTGTTTTGATAAGAATAGCAAGAAAAATTATTGTTTCAACAGAGGCTTGGGATGTTCTACTGGAAGAAAAATGTTCCCTATATTACTCTGTGGAAAATGAATGTCCCTGAAATATGAAACCTGTGAGCGAGGAAAGGCTTCAGATGCCGGCGGTGTGTGAGCATTGGCCCATTGGTTGTTCCCAACTGCACCATTAAAATGAGCAGCTGAACATGTTGTTTTTTAAGTAGAAGGAAGCAAGGCCTTGGGGGGAAGTACAGTGAATTCAGAATCAAGCAAATCAGAGCAGTAGTTGGCCTCTGTGGGCAACCCCACACATATGTGGATACACACATACACATAAATAAAAATAAATTGTAAGGAAAGCAGAATGAAAACTAAGGATAGCACGAGGACCCCAGGAGTCAAAGGAAATTATGCGCCCAAATCCTACAAGTTGGTCATAGGAGGAACCAGATTGACACGTACTACCAAGGACCCCTAAAGTGCTGCAGTTTGAGAAGCACAATGAAGGGTGAAGAGAAGATTGGAAAATACATCAATGTTTTTACTATAAATGGACAATGGTGACGTTGCCTGAACTCCAAATAGAAAAGACTCAAAGTCGTTTGTATCCCCGCCACTGCAGGAAAAGATCATTGTGGTCTTCGAAAAGCTCTCCAAGCCAGTATCGTAGAATGAAGTTCTATGTAGAAAAAATGGAACAGAAATATGACTCCAGGTGATAAATCAATGACTAACTTCTGATATGGGTAAACTTCTGCTCATTGTAAAAAGTTTTTCATATATTTTAAAAATAAATGATAATGAGCCTTATGTCCCAGCAATGATTACTAAAAAGATTATGTTGTTTTATTACCAAAATCAATGATTGCAACATGCTGACCAGTTCACACTTTCTTTCACTGCTTAAATGTGCAATGACAAGTCACAGGAGTCCATACATTTTTCTTTTTGCTTTGTAGCCCTCTAATGGAATTCTGTAGAAGTTCTGGCCTCAGTTTTGGTCTCCTATATGAAAAATGGGGTTCTGATGGAGAGGCAGTGGTGTGAAGAAGGGATGCTGAGAATCTGGCCACGTGCACACCGCATCCCTCAAGGAAGCTCCTGACACATCAGTGTGGAGGCTGTCGTGTTGTGTTCCCCCAGTGGGGCTTTTGGTTCTGCGCCTGGATTCAATGTATTCACCTCACTCAAAGAAAAATACAGTATGTTCCAGAAAAGATTTTTTGAGAAAAGCATGCTGGCCTAATATACATAAGAACTTCGAGTTCTGAGAAGGAGTTTGCGTAAAATCCTAAAATAGGACAACTCTAGTTTGCCTAAAAAGTAAAGGAAAGGGAAATGGTGTTTATGTGCTTGAAGCTGTGGGATGGATGCATAAAAATACGTAAGAGATGCTCTATCAGCTCTGGTGTTCCCTGACTCCTTTTCCTTGCTAAATGAACACACCACACTTGACTTAAATGTTTACGCTGCCCATTTTCTGAATGTTTGCACATGCACAGTTACTGAACTACCACCACAATCAGGACACAGAATAGTTCCACCCGCGCCTGCCATGGTCCCTGCTGCCCTGTAGATGTGTCCCTTTCTCACTTTTCACCTCTGGCAACCACTCTCTGTCCTCATGTTTGTTTTTATGCCCCATGTCATAAACCACTAGGAAAGGCAAATTAAAGCCACGTTAGAATTACCTATGAAATGCCAGGCAACTTTCTGTGCCTTCCCTGACCCCCTCCAGTGTGTCTTCATTGACTCGTAAAGTGTGTATTCAAATCATTTGTCCATTTAAAAATTTTGGTTGTGTTGTTTTGTACACTCTGAATACAAGTTTCCAGTGTGACATGTGATTTGCAAATGTTTCTTCCAGACCATGGTTACTTTCGTATTTTCTTAGCAGTACCTTTCCAGTAGCAGAAATTTGTATTTTAGTGAAGTCCAATTTAGCAGTGTTGCCTTTTATGGGATATATTTGGTGCCTCATGAGAGAACTTCTTGCAAAACCCAAAGTCATGAGGCTTTTCTCCTTTTCCCCTTTGGAAGTTTTGCAACTTCACATTGAGATCATGACCCACTTGAGGCTTACTTTTGCAGATGGTGTAGACACAGGCTAAGATTCACTTTCTGGACATAAATATCTAATTGTTCAAGCACCATATACAACTCTATCCTTTCTCTGTTTTTCTTTGTGATTTTTGCTAAAAATAATGTACTTGCATAGGTTTATTCCAGTAATATCTAGTCCACTCAATTAGACCCACCTGCCTGCCCTTCTCTCCCTGTGAGTTTTGATGGTAAGCTCATAGATCATATAATAGTAGTCCTCTAATTTTGTTCTTATTCATCAAAATTGTCTTCCCTAGTTTAGTTCTTCATGTTTTACCTGTAAATAATAGCTTATCTGTGTCTATAATAATTCTTCTGGGACTCTAATTGAAACTTTATACATTCATCAATCAGTTTAGGGAGACTGACATCTTAAATACTTTGAATATTCTGATCCACACATTTGATATATATCTCTATTCAAGTCTTTGGTTTCTTTCATCAATGTTTTGTAGTCATAGAATACAGACTTTGCACAGGTTTTGTTATATTCTTAACTGTAATGATTAGTTTTACATGTCAAAATAGATCACTGTATGTAATCCAGAGATACCCAGAAATAGCCTAGTGAAATACCAAGATGAAGCTGGCTTGTGACAAGTTTGTGGGGAATTATCTTGATGTTATTTGATATGGGAAGACACAGCCCACTGTGGGAAGAACAATTCTGTTGGCACAAGAGGGGGAGCTGACAGAGTAAGAGGGAAGAAACCCAGCAAGCAGCAGGCATGCAGCATCCAGCATCCGGCATCAGTGTGTGTGTGTGTGAGTATGTGTGTGTGTGTGTGTGTGTGTGTGTGTGTGTGTGTGTGTGTGTGTGTGTGTGCTTGTCTCTGCTCTTGACTGAGGCTGCGATGTGACTATCTGTTTGAGATCCTGCCTTGACTTGCCCTCAATGATGGACTGTGACCTTCCCAATTTTATCACAGCAAAAGAAATAAAAACTAAAACAATGCCCATTTCATTGATGGAACAGTTGTAATTTTGTTAAATTTTATTATATTTCTTGAATTATTCTATTGAAATTTAATTTTTCTGTTTCCATTTGCTTGTTGCTAAAATAAAGAGTTAAAAATGCTATTTGTGGATTGACCTTTCTTGACTTCTTCAACTATTCTGGATTCATTTATTAATTCAAAATGCTTTTTTTCCATGTTTCTTATGATTTTTACCCATAGAAAAATTTGTAATTTGTAAACAGATAATTTATTCCATTTTGAATCTTTGAGTCCATCCTGTTTTATGCCTCTTAATACTGGCTAGTTGCTGAATAGGTAAGGAGATAAGTAAGATAAGCTTTTCAGGCTCTCGGGGGGGTGGAGGGGTGGTGACAGCATTCAGTCCTTCACCATATCCTGTGATGTAAGCAGGGAAATTTTATAGATCCCTTCATAAGGTTAAGAGAACTTTTGTAACAATGACTTCATGAAATCCTCAGGCAAATGGGTAAGAAGAAAAAGTCATCCTGAGTGAGATAACACAGACCCAGAAAGACAAGTACCGTATGTACTCAGTCATAAGTGGATATTAGTTGTAAACAAAGGATAACCAGGGTACAGTCCTCACCCCAGAGACGCTGGGTAACAAGGAGAGCCCTAAGACGGATGGATGGATCTCTCTGGGAAGAGGAAATAGTTGAGATGTTCTAGGTAAACTTGGGGTGGGGGACAGAGTAGAGGAGAGGGTATGGGGAGGTGGAGACATCAGTGATCAGGATGGTTGGGTTGGGGGTGGAGCAGAGGGGGAGAGTAATGGAAGAGATATCTTGATAGAGGGGCCCCCTATGGGGTTAGAGAGAAACCTGGTGCCAGGGAATCCCCCAGGAACCGACAAGGATGACCCCAGCTAATATTCCCAGCCACAGTGGAGAGGATACCTGAATTGACCTTCCCATGTCATCAGATTGGAGAATACCCTAATTGTCGTTATAGATCCTACATCCAGTACTTGATGTAGAGATGCAGAGAACCACAGCCAAGCACTGGGCCGAGCTCTGGGAGTCCAGTTGAAGAGAGGGAGGAGGGATCATATGAGCAAGTGTGTGTGTGTGTGTGTGTGTGTGTGTGTGTGTGTATGTGTGTGTGTGTCAAGATCATGATGGGGAAACCCAGAGAGACAGCTGACTTGAGTTTGTGGGAGCTCACAGACTCTGGACAGACAGTTAGGGAGCTGGCATGGTCCTGACCTAAGCCCTGTGCATCTGGGGGACAGTTGTGTAGTCTGGTCTTTTGTGGGGGCCCCTAGCACTGGGACCAGACCTGTCCCTGTTTCATGAGCTGGCTCTTTGGATGGGATGCCTTGTATAGGGTCTTGTTGCCCTGGGAAGGAGCCTGGTCCTCTCTTATCTTGATATGCCAGGCTTTGTTGACTCTAATGGGAGGCCTTGACCCATATGAATGGAGATGGAGGAGGAGTGTGGAGGGAGAGGGGCAGGGACTGGGAGGAGAGGAGGGAGGGGAAACTGTGGTTTGGCATGTAAAATAAACAAAAGATGATAAAAAAGAACGTCTGTTTTTTTTATTCTTTCTTTTCTGAGAAGACACTTTACTTATTTACTCATTTATTTATTTATTCATTCTTTTGTTTGTTTATCTTACATCCTGGCTTCAGTTTCCCCTCCATCCTCTCCTTCCAGGCCCCTTCGCTCCACCCCCTCCTGTCCCCCCCGCCCCCCCGACCATCCACTGCTCTCAGTTTCTGTTCAGTAAAGGGCAGGCTTCCCATGGAAATCCACAAAACATAGCACCAAGTTGCGGTAAGACTAAGCACCTTCCAAATGTGTTAAGGTTGGGCAAGGAGACCCAGTGTGAGGCACAGGGTCCCAAAAGCCAGTAAAATAATCAGACAGTCCCTGCTCCCACTATTAGGAGTCCCACAAGAGGACCAAGCTACACAAATGTAACCTATATTCCGGGGGTCTAGGGCATGCAGGCTCCCCGGTTGTCGGTTCAGTCCCTGTGAGCTCCTACGAGCCCGGGTTAGTTGATTCTGAGAATTTTCATGTGATGTCCTTGACCCCTCTGGTCACCTGAGAATGGCTCTGCAGTTTTCCTTTTCTGTTTTGTTAGCATGTGAACTATATAGTTTGAACTTCAAATTTCAGGTGAGATACATTTCTGAACTAAATCCGTACTCATGGTTGTGACATCTTTCTTTGCATATATTGCTGGATTTAATTTGTTAATGCTCAGTTGGAGAACTGCACATTGTTGCATGGTCCTGTTGGCCTACAGTTGCATTTTTTAAAATTAATTTATTTTAACACTATATCCTGACCGCGGTTCCCCTCCCAGACTCGTCCCAGTTCCTCACCCCCACAGCTCCCCTCTCCCCCATACATACCCCCCCTCCATTTCCTCCGTTCAGAAAAGAGCAGGCCTCTGAAAGATTACAGTCAAACAGGACACAACAATAAGACAAGACAAAAGCCCTCAGACTGAGGTTGGACAAGGGAACCCCGTAGGAGGGAAAACGTCCTAAGAGTGGGGCAAAGAGCCAGAGATAGACCCATTCCTGTGGCCAGGAGTCCCACCTGGCTAGCAGCAGGCTCACAGCTGTAGCACATGCATAGAGGACCTGGTGTGCGCCCCCCCCCATCATGCAGGGCCTGTGCTCCCTGCTTCAGTCTCTGCGTTTTTATACAGATCTGACTGCAGAACCAGGGTGCTGTGGGCTCATAAAATAAGTTAAGGAGTGATTCTTGCTCTTTTGTTTTCTGAAAGATATTCTGCAGAATAGATTATTAATGCTCCTTAAGTACCTGCTGTTGTTTGCATTGAGACTATATAGGTCTAGAATTTTGGGCTTTTAAGGGTTTCTAACTAATTTAACTATGAAATCCATTTACCTAGCAGTTATAGAACCATCTGAGCTATTTAATGTTCCCTTGGGTGATTTTGGTAATTTGTGGCTTTTAAGGCTTAGCCTATTTCATTGACATTTTCTAATATATGTGCTTAGAGTTTGTTTATTCCTGTGTCCTCCTAATGTCTATACTAATACCAGGCTTTCAGGACTTAACGCTATAATTTGCATTTTCTCTCTCTGTTTTACTTGTCAATGTGTGTAATGTTTATTACATTGTATTGATCTTTTTTAGGCAAACAATTGGTTGTGATTTTATTTTGCTTTTCTCTTTCCTAGTTTATTGATGTCTTCCCCTATTAGTATTCTCTCTTCCAGCTTTCTTATGTTGTTTTTATTTATTAAGGTGGAAGCCTTATTAAAATGTAACCTTTCTTTTGTGATATCAGCACTTAATTCCATATTCTTTAAATTCCGTTTTGTTCACATTCACAGGTTTTTTTGGATGTATCTTCCTTTGGCTCAAGTTACTCTGTATTTGATACTTCTTTGAATTGTAAATTATTAAAAAGCATGTTAATTTGTTTATTTAGGATTTTTAATTTAATCTTTTGTTTAGAACAGTGTTATAGCGTGGGTATTGAACACCTTGGCTAAAGTCATTGCCAGAGATCAGGGATAGAAAAGGCAGGATTTTACTTTTAATTTTCAGCAGCTCACAAGTTTGGTGATGTCATCTCTACCCCCAACTGCCATTTTTGTCTTTCATCTTTCTCATAATACACATACCTGCCCACCATGGAAAAATGAGATTTCTGTCTCCATGGAGAAGGGCAATCTTGATGCTTTGCTCTGTTATCTGGTAACCACATTGCTCGCCTGTTATGCCTGCCAAGCCAGGGCCAGAGAGAGGACAGTGTATTGAGAAGGAGGCTGTACTTACCACAGTCACGATTCTTCTGGGTGAGTTGCCCAGCTCCGGTCACCGTCCCCACGTCATTCTGCCACAGGCCTATGGTCTCGTCTCCCAGCTCCGGTCACCGTCCCCCATGTCATTCTGCCACAGGCCTATGGTCTCGTCTCCCAGCTTCTTCCCAGGCTGTGCTGTTCTTTGCTGAGGCAGCCCCAGGGCAGGGGCTGGGGAATGATGACTCCAGCCTTTTCCTTTTCTTCCAAAACATTGCAGCACTGGGTCTAGTGAGCAGTACTCTTTACCCACGACCTGTTGCGTTCTCTCAAATGTCCTTATTACCCATAGAGAGACTTCAGCGCCATTCAGTGGCCTAGCCTCCATGGAAGGCCCTGCAGCAAAGAGGGAGGGTTGTGTAACACACACAGCAGTTCCAATTCAGACAGCCTCAGAGTGTTGCTGCTCTAACTCAGAATCGCTATTTCTGCTTTTCTCCTCATCCTTGGCAAAGCTGAATGGTACAGGAAACTTGACCACAGCAGAGGTTATCTCTTTTGGAAGAAGGTTATTTTCTTTGTCCCTGCCTGTTGTTTTTATGTAGCTAACTACTCGGGTGGGTGGCCCAATAAACTGGTACCTTTAGTGTTGTCCCACGATGAGGGACATCTATCATTGCCTGTGCTCTTACCTGAGAGGAGGGGAGTGTGGATTTAGGAAAGGAACAGACAGGATACAAGAGAGAGAGAGAGTCAGAAGGGCATCTATCGAATACTGACTCACCCATGGTTATTGTGTCCAGTCTTTTTATACCCCTATCAAAGGAGAGGGAGAAAGCAAAAGACATCCTTACCAAGGCACAAAGAACAGGTGAACATAATTACCTTCTCAATACCCAAAACATCAAGTAACTATCTCCGAGTTAAGTATTCTGTTGTTTAGACAGAACATGCAGCGACCACATCCTATGCCAAGAATCCTGAAGCATTTACATCCTAGGCCAGATCTCCTTGTTGTTTCACCTTGGAAAAGCAAGGGAAGGCAAAAAACCTTTGACCTCAAAATGGAAAGGAGTCAGTTCTGTGGGTTCCCACATACCTTCTCTTCCAGGAGAATTCTGCTCTGCAGTATTGTAATCATCCAAACATTCTTTGAAGAAAGCATAACAAGACAGGCTGAAGCAGAGAATCTCGCCATAACTGGCATTCAGGTCCAACGGGAGGGCATATGTTATAACCCCGAGCCTCTTTCATTAGCCTGGGAGGAGATGTCTGGCATGTGATATTTCCCCACAATAGGTGGGGAAGTTACTGTGAGAACAGCATTGGAGACAAACCTCAGGGGTTTGCTGTTGTTTAACATTCATGTGTTGTCTCCACGTCTGCAGCTGGGAGTCCCGTGCAGTTCATCCAACACTGCTTTGTCCGTTAAACCATGAGTGCAGTGGCGAAGGACCAGGAACTCTTTTAAAACCTAAAGGGTGACTGAAACTCGGGAGAATTAGTTTTTCCAAAAGAGAAAAAAATCCTACACAAATAATGGCCACATAATATGATACAGCATCCATTCTATGTTTTATCCAACTCTTGCATTTTTGCAAAACATGTTGTAGGTAAAATTATATTCCAATATGAGATGGTGGTATGTTATAACATTTTAATATTCTGTGCAGTAGAAATTCTAAAATTTGGAGAGCCTTGTTTTGTTTTTCAAATTTTTGCTAAACTTTGTTTTCCAGAGCTATCAGTCCTTAGAATAAAGAGAAGGGAATTATTAGTCTGAAGATACAAGCTAGAAACAATTTGTGTCATTAAAGTAGACTAATCCTGTGACCAGTAGTCTCCTAATTTCAGTGGTTTAAAAGAATGAGAGTTGATTTTTTTTTTCATCTGCAGGATAGTCCAACACAAGAATTCCCAGCTAGAGTGTTCTTTAGGATTGCTTAATTTTGCATGGCCAATGTGGGTCCCGTGAGGTTCTGGTTGCCCCTTGAGGGCAACCTTGGGGGCGGAGTCTCTCCTTTGAAAGGAGAGGTGGTGTGAAAAGGCACCAGAAAGGTCTTGGGGGCCAGAGACAGAAGGCGCATGGATTGTTCCAACCCACTCTTTAGACTTACACTCTGTCCCAGCCTCCCTATAGTGACAGAGAGTGTACAATGCTCTCTTTTACGCTGGAGCTAAAGGGAACAGCCTGTAGTCAGCACCCATGCCTCTCCGGGGTTCACTAGCCCTGGCCACTGCAGTTTATCTGAAGCCCTGTGTGTGCCGTGTGTTTTAGCTGCTTGAGTAGACACCGGGTGCCTTCTTTGATGAGGGGTTTTGACGTCTAAGAAGAGAAGTGGTTGCGCCAGCTTTGCTTCCGGGTTAGTCTCTCTGCTACGTTTCCGTGCTCCCCCCAACCCCCACCCTGCTTGTCCTCGCTGGCTGCTGGCTTCCGGGTGCAGCTCCTCCTTAACCAGTGCGGTAACGGATGGCTTTCTGTCTCCCATGCCTTCAGTTCTGGGCTGATTTTAGAGAGGAGGACCGTGGTGACATGTTATTTGTGATTTATTAAAGCTTGCCTGAGGATTCAGAAAGCAAAGTCAGCCTCAAGCTGTGGGGCGCAGCCAGTGGTGGCACACACCTTTAATCCCAGGACTCATGTCATGATTAAGAGATTGATGGATGTCTGTTAGTTGGAGGCCACCATGGCCTACACAAGAGTGGAGAGTAGCAGAGCTCATGCCTTTGATCCCAGCACTTGGGATCTCATGCCTTCAATCCCAGCATTAGGGAGGTATATGAGACAGGAGCAAGGTCCCAGAGTTGGCATTTGTTCTCCAGTCACGTTGAGGATAGGGAGACATTGAAGTCTCAGGGTTCTCAAGCCACACTGCGGAGAGGTGACAGGCTGAGGTTTTGTGGATCCAGGATCACCTTTCAGTCTGAGGTAGAGTAAGAGCTAGTGACTGGCTGCTATGCTTCTCTGATCTTCAGCTTGAAGTTTGAACCCCAACAGCTGTCTCTGGGTCTTTTATTTATCATGCTACAGAAGACAAGGCAAATCAACTATATCCTCTATTCCTGAAGGAAGACTCTGGAGGTTGGTAGCATGAAGTATTGGATAATTGAACAGTGTTTACTAAGACCAGTCTATGTGCTAATCTAGGCACAGCCTTGGAAACAAGGACTTACTTTCTTTGCTCTTTGATTATCTGTCTCCTTTGTGAAACAGGTGCTGTAGTGTCTACCATTTGTGCTGTGGGCTTGATGAGACAGTGCAAGTGAAATGCTTAGCATAGTGTTTGGTGTGTAGTCAAGGTACAATTAGCCAGGTCATCTCCCTTCTAAACCATGTCTACTTTGTTCAAACATGAGTTCCTTCTTTGTAAGATGTAGAATGTGAGTTCAGGTGACTTAAGCAGAAAGGGGTATCTTGAAGAGATGTGGATAGAATCTGACAAATCTGAATGCCTAGGAGCAGGAAATAGACTGGATGTTACTGGGGGGGGTGGGAAGTATAGATGTTTCAGTTAGAAAGAATAAGCTTTGGGGGTCTATTGTACCACATGGTGACTGCAGTTCATACTTTGAAACTGTAAGAGGAGACTTGAAGAGTTACACACACACACACACACTATGGACTGCAGAATTGTGCAGTGAGAGCTCAGCTGACTAAATCACAAAGCTAACCTGCTGGTATCATCTAATGGAGGAGTCCTGCATGAAGGGCAGTGGGAGAACTTGCTTTATGAGTAGTCACTGTCCTTACAGTGAATTCCCTGTGACGTCATAGCTTTCCCTTTTCTCTGGTGGGAGCCATCCCCAAACTCCAGCAGTGTATTAATTAATTAACTAATTAATGGGCATCTTTTCCCCTACGCATTGGTATATTGGATGACTGTCCCCCTCCCCCAGCAATTCGTGATTCTGGAAAGAAAGTAATCACAGTTAATACCCTTACTCTCAAGCATGTCTTTGAATAAACTTAGAAGTCTGCAATTATCTTCCTTGGCAGAGAGTTGGTCAGTGTCATTGTCCAGGCAAACAGACCTCAAGTGAGACATTCTCAGGACAAGGGCAAGAATTACAGCACATCTACAGTTGTTGAGCCATGCCTGTCAGAGAGACTGAGAACAGGAATGTCCCAGATTCTCTCTGCAAGCAGATAGAAAAGCAGATAACTGTTCCAAGCTAACCTCCCATTAGCCTTAAAACATGCCTAATCTTCACTTGCTAGTCTACTAACAATAGATCTGTGTCTTAAAGTCGTCATTGAACACTGTGTCCTCTCCTGCCTGGTCAGGTTTTGCTCCTGTGGCCTTGGACCCTTGTGTTTCCATGGTAAACAGCTCAGCTCCTTATTGCTTGCTCTAGAAATGTGCTATTGGCCAATGAGAGAAACTTCTTTATCACTTCAAGGCTTCTGAAGGAGAAGAGTTTTTTAGAATAGAATTAGAAGCTAGAACAAGAAGAATGGAGAAGTTGGATGTGGGAGAGGGTTATTAGAGTAGAAACAGAACAATAAAGAGCACATAAAATAAAGAGCGCAACCCTCAGACGGTGTGTGAATTCACTGTGGGAATCTTTTACAGCCCCTTCACTCCTGAGAAGCATTTCACCTTTGGGACCCTGGGTAGGGACTGAAACAGTTCTCATATCCAACCCCCCGCCCCCCAGTTTTCATTTGTCAGTTTAAGGATAAATTTGTTGGAATTTGAAACCTTCTTCATTTCATTACTGTGGAGAGGGGAGACTTATTTTGTCAAGAAAGCTATCATTGAAGAGTTTAAATGGGGCTTAGATGTGAGAGGGGCTCATGGGGCCCCATCCTTCCCTACTGGACTTTAGGCAACTGCTGGATTCTAGAAAAGCAGGAGCCTTGTCTTCAGTTGTGTAGCTACCAGGGAGTCCACAACATTCTAAACCCACAGTCACACTGGTTTATTATACTTAATGGGTCATAATCCAAAGCAAAACGTCATGAATGTGGGTAGTTTTGAAGGAAAAACGGTGTGAGTCCATGGGGGAGGGAGGTGAGAAAGAACAGAGATGAGAGCCATTAGAATGCAGTAAATAAGTCTGGGATTTTAAGGGAGCAAATAAACAAACAATTTATTCACAATAAATAGCTCAGAAGGAGAGTTATTTGTTGATGAACGGCTCAGTGGACACAACACTTGGTACACAATTTCAAGGATGAAACTTGGGATTCCCTAGACTCCACATAAAAATGGCCAGGCACAGTCAATCCCATTACTACCCTAGAGACTCTGCTTCAAGAAATAAAGTGTAGAACAATGAATGAACAGACATGTGATAACAACTTCATACATCTGCAAACATGTGCACAGTTGTATACCCCCATGTGTGCTCATGCACATGCAAAGGTGCATACACTCATCCAATACACACACACACACACACACACACACACACACACACACACACACACACACACATGCAAAGTTTAAATGAAAATGCTGTGAGTATTTCACAGATTTCCAGAGGGGGTGGTGGTGAATTGGGCAGTGCTCCAAATCACTCTATAGAACTGTTGCATGACTCCATGAGCCTTTTAAAGGGTCTTAAAATTTTATTTAGGTATATGATAGGGATAAACACTGATAAAGAACCAATTAGATGCCACCGAGGTCCATCTGCTGAGTCCTGTCGTTCTACAGGGGAGATGGGGACCAATGGCTCCTGACTCGCTCCACCTGAGAGAGAGCATGAGAGCATGGATCCTCTCACTCAGCTCCTAAGCTGTCGGGTAGGCAGGCAAGACATGCCCTAGGACTTGCTGCCCCAAAGGTCATTGGCTAAACCGGTAGAAATTCTACAACACTTCCCTCCCACACTTTTTTTTAATAAGAAGGTTTTAACCTTAACATAAAACTATTTACAATAACTATCAAGAAGAAAGTGCAGAAGAAAGAAAAGGTAATAACATAAGCAAAAAATAGAACTACAACCAGCAAGAACAGCATCGAGCATGAAACACATGCTAAATGTCCAGGCCATAGGTAATTGGCAAATCACAGAGATTATTCCAGTAACTGTCCTATCCTGGAGAGTCTAAGTCTTGTACCTAATACACCCTAGCTAACATACGAGAGGATTATAACTATAACTAATCTTCAACCCCATCAAAGACCAGAGAAGGAAAGTATTATTACCTGAGTACATAGGAAGTAGCAAGCAGCCTCCAAAAGATGCAGGAAATGGCAGAAATAGCTGGTTGTCTGGATAGTCACCCAAAGTTTCTCTGCAACGTTGGGCCATACAACTTTGGCTATAGGCCTCGAATATCTGACAGACCATTTCCAGAAGCAGGAACATTTGAAAGACTGTCCTACTCTGTGTTGGCAGTCACTTTTCCTTGTGTCCTGCTTGTCCAGATTGGATAGCGTGCTTACTGTCAGCAGTTGAGGCAAGGACAGTTCTTTGCCCAATAGGGCAGTATTACCAAGAAGAAAACAAACTCCATATGGAGTGTCCTCGATGCCCAGATCAGTGCTGCCAGGAGCAGTCCTGTCTCATGTCAACAAAATTATAAGTTATGAAAACATTTAAATGCCATCCGTATTTGGTAGATCTTTGAAGTGTTTGAAGATTACCTGTCTATACGGAATACATCTTTGTATATCTAGAGAACATAACTAATATAACCATAACTATGACAAACATGGGTGAGTATTAACCCCTAGTTTTTATTAACCTATATAGCTTAAAGACTAAAGCTTCACACTATAAAAATAAACAGTCTGTAAACAGTTGTGTGGTATAAGGAGAGTGACCTAAAAACTGTAAGAAAATATAAAAATTATCTTCATCAGTGGCATATAGTGCAATATGACAAACAAATCCTTAATTTGCATCAATATACAAAATATCTTAAACAGAAGTAGAAATATACATGTAGTATGACAAAAATTATTTTACATTTACATTAATATACAAAAATCTTATAAACAGAAGTAGGAACATATACAATATTATAAATATAACTGAATTTGTAACAATATACAAATCATCTTAAAAGGAATAGGAAAATAATTTTACATCGGTATCAATATACCAGAATCCATACCATTGCAAATTATCTAAAACTGATAGTTGCTATGTTAATTTACAAGTAGATAAATAATCTACCTATCCTATCTATCAGATTCTTGTGGATTCACATAACATAGAGCTGTGTCTGTGCAAAGACAGTGCCATCACCCCTGTTAGGTTACCATGGAATGATCACAGGGCACATCAACAGTGTGCTGGAGAGTGGTCTCACTAGACACTGAAGCAGTGACTCTATACCTACTCCCTGTCAGCAAGTTGTATTCTGAGCAGTTCCGGCCAGTGTGTGTCTCTGACTCAAAGCTGTGGACGTTCATATCTGAAATGTTCACATGTCCACTTCCAGGATACAGAGGAATCTGGGAAAGTTAGTAATGGATGCTTTTAGGGTTCACTGTGGGAGACACTCCTTCCCAGACTGAAGCCTTTGGCTCTCTGCCAGTTGACACTCCAAGACTCTTGTCAGCTTCAGACACATGGTCTTGTAGCTGTGGATGACTCTGCTGTGACACTAATGAGTGAGCACACAACCGTCATGACTGCTATGCTCGGCAGTCCACATGCGTTGACTTCGTCCCATTTAGCAGAGGAGAAGGCTGAGGGTCAGAGAGGCCAACCAAGCCCCTAGTATGAGATGGTGCCATCTCAGCCCTCCACTCTTCTTCCTGGAAAGCATCTAAAGGCAGCGAGGAGAACGAGGAAATGCCAACTTTATTTTTGGTGATGCTCAAAGATAGCTGTAACTTTGTTTTCTGAGAAACCGCACAGCTGCCTTTCTCTGTGGCAGAGCCAGAACAGCTCACAGAGGAACTCGGTTACGTAAAGTTTTCACCAAGCCATGAGTGTGGCCAGCACTGTGCTCACACAAGCCTCTACCCGAAAGCTAGTACAGGAAAAATGTTTCTTCCTTCAGTCACGACTGGTGGTAAACAAACACAGGGTGGATAATGGTGGAAACCAGAAAAATGTTATTTTGGAGCGAACATATGCAAGACAAAATGTTATCATGTTTTTATTTTTTTAAAGTGCATGGGATGATGTAACATGTTGTAAAGTCTCAGGAAAGAAAATGTGCATCAGTGTGTGTCTGTCTGTGTGTCTCTTTGTGTCTGTCTGTGATCAGTGTGTGTCTGTCTGTCTGTGCGTCTCTTTGTGTCTGTCTGTGTGCGCCTTGCTGTGTGTCTCTTTGTGTGCTATAGATGCCAACAATCACAAGAGTAAAGAAGATATTCTAAACAGAAGGGAAAGAGATTCTACTGAAAAACACAATAAAGGGCATATATTGCAAGATAGCAAAAATAAAAATAAACAACATTAAGTTGAAATAAAGAAAGAATTAAATCAAATTAGAAAGAAAATGATAGATAGGGAACAGACAAATGAAACCCAACACGTGCCCAGTTATATTCCCCTGGAGAATAAACAGGAAATAATCACCCAGAACAAATATCTGAAGATGGAATCCAAGAAACTTCCCTGAAATAAAACTTACATTTCCATAATATTAAGATAAATACTGAAGGGTCCTAGCTTTGATGAGATTACCGAGCCAAGAGGAAAGAAAGCTGAGTGTTCACAGGCCCGCAGTGCTGTGTCTCTGCATCTCTTGGTTAGAGGATGAGGGGGATGGCTTAATGTGGGCCAGATACCAGCCAGAGGCAGCCGTGGGAACTGAGTGCAAGGAAGCTTGTGAGTCCCGCTCTTGTCTCTTTTCTTTTCAGAAAGGTTTCCAGTAGCCTTAGCCTCCTATGCCTTGGCCAGTGTCCATAGTCACTGATGATAGAGGAGAAGTGAGAAAACAACGCAGAAAATCTGCAGGGTGAGGAGCAGGGGAAGTCTGTGGAAAGACCACTCCAGTGTCTGTCTTCTCTTTATCCCCTCCTTTCTGCATGCATGGCAGATGGGTTACAGTTTAGGGATAGCCTCTACTACACACTTGGGGTTCTCCTCTGTCCCTCCTCCTCCATTTGTCTTTCTTTTCTGTCCCTGTCTGTCGCTTTCTGAATATGAAGTTCCATTAGATCAGGCTATCTCAGCCTTGCTGTGTTGTAGCTGACGATGACCTTGAACATGTGATCCTGTTGTCCCCATTTCCTGAATGCCAATATAGCATGCCTGGGTTATGCCATACTGGGAACTGAACTCAGGGATCAATGCATGCTAGGGGAGAACCCTACCTACTAAGCCTTAATTCCACTTCTGTCTCTTGTGACTTCCTAGCCGAGGACTTGGACTCCAACGTCGTGTGCACCATTGGCCAGGATAGTTGTTACTGGAGGGCTGTGAGCTTTCAAGGTAAAGTAAGTTGCTCACTTTGGAGTGTAATCACTACGAAAGAAAGACAGAACGTGGAGAGAGACAGATGCCAACCAAAGAGGAACGATCAGAATGGTTGGCTTCTGCCACCTGTCTCTAGAGTGAGGGCTCCCACAGGCAGCGTGCTGTCATTGACAATGGCTATATCTTCCCTACACCAGTCGAGTGACTGTGTAGCCTCCTCTGCATCTCCACTCCGTCTCCCACTTCCTGATAACCGAATGCCCAACGCCTTAGAGTCACTGCCTCTTACGGTGATGCTGCCTCTCGATGCTGAGAGAAGTTTCTTCCCTCCCCATGGATAGATGCCACTGATTGCTGCTCTGAGGACAGCTGCTCTGTCACCTCTTTGGAGAGGGTTGCTGTTCCTCTGCCTCTTACTGTAAAACTCCAGGCTTTATCATTAACACCTCCCCCCACCCCCACCCCCGCCTCCTCTAGTATTATCTGCCAAGAACATGGACTTTTTCTGAATGAGGTTGATAGCGGCAAGGGAAAGGCTGTTTACATAAGGCTGGATCCATTAAATGCATCTCTGAATCCTCAGAGTTTCATGGCAAACCAAAGACATTGCATAGAAGAAACGCTAGTGCTAGGATAGAGCATCTTCCTGGATGCACTTCTGTTTGTTTGAATTACTAATTTACTTTTAAAATTAGTCTCAGAGGTTTCATTATAGAATTTTCAAGCATAGTAAGTTTTGCGGTTATATTTTAAGTCTGCTCCTTGAAGATTTCATGCATGTATACAATACATTTGATCATATCCTCCTCTTTCTTCTTCATCCCCATGACCCACCTATCTTATAATAGTCTATCTCCAATAGTCCCCTTTCTCTTCTCAAGTCAATTAATAACTCTCGTTCCTTAAAACCTCTCCTTGTGGTCTCCCTTCTAGTTTCATGACCTATAACCTATTGCCACACTCACGCTCATACACACACACACACACACACACACACACACACACACACACACACACAAAGAGCTAGGATCCCCTGTCTGCATTTGAGAATAAAACACATGGTTCCTGTCCTTCTGAGTCCGGGTTACCTCCCTTAATGAAAAAGATTTCCAGCCACCACAAATTGACTAACAGCCAAGGGTACAGAACTCCAAAGAGGAAACATAAATAGCCACCAAAGCGGTTTAAAATTGTGCAACATCATTGACCATCACAGGGAAATAGAAATTCAGGTTTTTATTTTATACAGGGTCTCACTTTGTAGCTCAGGGAGATCTTGAACTTGGGGAAATCTTCCTTCTCCAGCTGTCTGAGTGTTGGGTTACAGGTATGAGTTACCATACTTACCTCTGACTGTAGGAGGCCTGCAAAGCGGAGCCAAGGCTCTGGTGGGTGAGCACAGTGTGGAGAGACCCCTGATGGGTCTGTGCCAAGTGTTACTGAAAGAGTGATGCATCTACTGCAAAGTACTGGAGCTGGCGTGGGGGAGGAGTGGGAGACAGAACAGTGTGGAGGGGCCACCCTCACATATCCCAGCAGGCAGGTAGCGTCCGGTGGGTGCAGGAGACACACACTGTCTGAGAGCTTCTTGGGAAACCCTCCCTGTTTGTCTCCCCAGCTGCCAGGACTTGGATGCGGCTTTCACTCTTCAAGAGGCTGGTCCCTAGTGCAGACCCTACGTGGTTCTCCTCTGAGTAAACGCAGTTTCCTGTGCTACTGGGAATTTTAATATGGAGAGTTGGGCTCCGTGGTAAAAATACGACATGCTGGAGAGTGTGGAGGTCAGCTGAAGTGTACAGTGATGACTCTGAGCATGGGCGTTCTTTCAACCTGTCACGGATTAATTCTCGGAGACGGTATAAGATGTGAGGCATCTCACCCAGTCACCATAATTTGAAGTTGACTGGGTGACTTGTACCTTTTGAGAATATACTCCTCCTTTAAAACAAGCGAACAAAAAACTTACAGGAATTTACCAAGTAAAAGCAGTAAAACTGACTGCTGTCTCATCCCTGTGGCATCTCTAGGGTTAAGTGACTTGTCTGAATTGGATTGGAGATGCAGACAGTATAAAAGATGGCCAAATTGTCAGACAGTAAATTGTATAAGCATGAGATTTTGCTCCTGGGAAGGATGTAAATACATGTAATAGTATTTTTAAAAAACTCCTTGATATATTTCAAATACCGAGCTGAGAGCATTGAACCAGGAAAGATTCACCCAGCTCACCCCTGCCCACCTTTACTGCATGGGCAAAACCAGCTGAAACCCACCAGCAGCAATCCCTGTCTCGGTTAGGCAGTTATCCTGAGACATGTGACAAGCGCCTGCTCCAGATCATGTCTCCATCAACAGGTGACAAAAGACGTGGCTATCACCATTGCAGGAGCAGATGCTACTCCTGGACCTAGGGCTAGGGACAGAGTGTGCACGTAACACCACCCCCTACGCAGAAATGTTCCACACGCCAAGGGCCAGGACCAGATCTCAGCATCCATTTATCCAGTTGAGCAGTTTCTGGATGCCAACCTTCTGTCACTTCTCTGATGGTGTTAGTTAAGCCAATTTCATGACTGGTTGGCTTTTTATTTTTAACTTTTCTATCAATTATAATTTTTTGGCGATTTCCTGCATGGATATGAAGCATTCTCTGATTGTTCTGACCTACACCTCTCTGATCTTCCTCCCATTCTTGCCTCCTCTGTCCTCCCTACAGGTTCCATGCTGGCCCCTCTTGTTCCATGACTCACTGAGTTTAACCAGGCTGTCTTACTGACCACGAGTAACCGACCCATCCAGTGGAGGCTGCTGGGGTCACCACTGACTACACAAGCCAAGAGCCTGACTCCTCCTCCCCCAGGATCCACTCACGAGCAGCCAGCAGTTCAGCTGCTCACCCTTCTGGCTGTCTGTACATTCCAGAATGTACAGAGCCCCTGCAGGGAACCGCTGGTGCCGTGAGATCGTGCCTGCGACGGATAGGTTGTGCCTAGAAGACAGCATCTCCTAGCCGTTCTTCCTGTTTTCTGCCTCTGATGTTCTTTCTGCCCCCTCTTCCACCATATCCCCAGAGCCTGGAGGTGTGATGCCAAAGTTCTGTCCCTAAAACCTGGAGGGGGGATGTCAATGTTCTGTTTAAGGCTGAGCACTCAACTGAGGTTGATGTGTTTAAAATAAATTTTGAAAGTTATTTTGAAATATCCTTAGATCTACAGGGAAGTTGTAGAAAGCAATGTTCTGCATGCCCAGCACCCGGGTTCCCTAATGAAGATTTTGGCATCCATGTTAAATTATTAAAACAGGCTAAAAGCAGAGCATTTCTGTTGCCATCACTACAGACCTTATTCTAATGTCATCTCTGTTTCCTTTGCTGACTTTTCTGCTTCAGAACTGCACCTAGAATAATGCATTACACACATGTTATATGCCTTCACAACCTCCCCTGGCTCCCTCCAAAGCCTCAGAAATTTTGTGTTGGTTTCCTTGGTTCTGAGGAGCAGGTATTTTGAAAGATGGCCTGGAGCTGGATCCTAGGATGCTTTCTCCCTGGTCAGACTGAGTTGTTGACTTTGGAGAGTACAGTAGAGTTGAAAGGCACCTTTGTATCACGTTGCATCAGGCACATGCTGAGCACTTTACCCCACTGGGACTTTCTCCCGTGAACTTTATTTTCTCCTCCCTGTATTGGCGTTTCTAGGAAGTGAGTTCCTAATTTTGTCAATACTCAAGGTTGAAGAATCATTTAACCTTCACTTTCTGGACAGGGAATATATGCATATATTGTTCCGAATTTTCCAAAGCAGTCATATCCTCATTTACATGCATCTATGTGTGCTTGCTTTTGTGTGGTGAGTTACAATCCAGCACTAGGCTATTCGTTTTGTTTCTCAAAATTCACAGCTTTAGTTATTGGCATCTCTTTCTGGTTGTATCCTGTGTCCCTTGGACAAACCCTGTTCTTTGCTTTCTGTCACTATGGTTCTATGAACATGCAGTTTTCTCTGCCCATCTCCAGAGTCAGCTATTTCTCCAATGAACTTGGGTCTTCTTATTGGAACACACAGTTAGAAACTGAGATCTGTGTGTGTGTTATTCTGTGTGGATGTCACTGTCAAGAGGCTCTCACAGGAACAGAGCTGAGGTATCCTGCATGTACTCTATAATACCTCTGTGCATATATATTTATATTATCTATACCTATACCTACCTCCCTCTCTATTTATATCATTTATATTTATACCTATCTATATCATCCCTTATCTATAAAGCTGTCAGTTAAGAACGATGTCTGATTGACAGTACAATAAGGTTCATTTTCATCATTCTCCGTTGCTTTCAAAATCAACATCTTTCTATGATAAATACCCGGGCTAGACAATGATTGGGATATATGCACAAGTTAAAATTTTATATATGAAAAACCATCGATCCTCCTAAATATTTCCGAAAATTAACAAGAAAAATCTAAGACAAAGCCTTTACTGGTTTACCGTACTCAGTTGTCATTACAGGAAAATAGACACCCATACCCATTTTGATAACTAAAAATATTAACGGAACTCAGCGTACCCTCTGAAATTATGCTAGGGAAAATCATATTGTTAGATGGCTCTGTAGCATTATTTTGTTTCTTTCACATTTTTTAAAAAAATGGATAATTCCGAAGCTCTCAGATAATATTTATTGATTTTCAGAAGTTCCAAGTGCCTTTATTGACATCTAGCAAACTACAAACATTTAAGGAATTGAATAATGTTTGACACACACACATATTTGTGACACTATCACCAAAAGTTAAGACAATGAACAGTTCTTTTAAATATAAACTCTGATCCAGGGAGATGGCTCGGTAGGAGAATTGTTTGACAAGCTGAAGAATGGGAGTTCACACTCTTAGCTCTCACATAAGTGCCAGGCAGGATTGGTGACCCACATACACTGCCAATACCCAGGAGGCCAAGATGGAGCGCAGGAACAAACTGGATAGCCAGCATAGTTGAACTGGGGAGCTTCAGGTTCAATGAGAGATCCAGCCTCAATGTAGAGAATGGAGAGTCATTTGGAAGATACCTGATGTCAACCTGTGTCCTCCACAGGAAAATGCACAAATATTCACATGCACCTCCATACACATGTGTCCCTCCATACAAGCATACGCACACACACATATATTCATAACACATACACACTAAAATAAAAAATCTTCCCTCATTTCCTTCATGAATTTATGAAATAGACAGGTTTGCAAATATGGACTCTATTATAAAAAGATGATACAGATTTATAGATTGTTTAAATTAATATCATGCTGTCTTGATTATTATAGCTTTATATTTACACTAGAAGTTAAGTAATATTGGCTATGTTATTCCTTTTCACAATTTTTTGTACATCATGGGTTCTTTGAACTGATGTGTGATTTTTAAAGATGAAAATATATGTGTGCATATGTGTGTGTGTCAGTGTGTGTGTGTGTGTGTGTGTGTGTGTATGCACGCGCACACGCATACATGTGAGTGCAGGTGCCCATGGATGCCAGCAGAGGTGTCAGATCCCCAACAGCTGAAGTAGGGGTGGGGCCTGGGGAGCTGAGTGTGAACCATCTGCAGAAGCAACCTGTACTTTTAACTGCATGGCCATCTCTCCAGTCCCTGGGCATGGGTTCTAGAATCAGTTTGTTGGCTTCTAAAAGAAAGAAAAAAACTGGAATTCCACTAACAAAGAGAGCAGGAAATACTACTGAAATTCTTATTAAGATTGCTATAAATGTTAATTTTTAAATTTGTTTTCTCTTTTGATCACTGGTGGTTTTGTTTTTCCTGCTTCTCTCATCTTTCCTTCAAAAGAATTAATGGGCAGAAGACTGGTCTTTTTTAACATAGTAATGTAATATCATAGACTATCCCTAAGTATTTGTTTAACAATACCCCGCAAATGTTTTATGCGTTGCATTTTATTTTCCCGTAGTTAAATTTTTTAACCACTTTTTTTTTAACTTGTAAGCTTTTCAGAATGCTGTTTATTTTCTGAGTATTTGGAGAAATTTTCCCCAGAGATGTTTCTGTTCCTGGTCTCTTATTGATACCAAGTGTAGGGAGGGGACACTGTCTGGTGCCTGTGGTGTCCTTCCCTTCTAAGAAGCTCGAATACTTATGTCTTCCCTGTTGGGACTCTGTAATGGTCTATTTTGATCAATGCTCCATACATACTTTTAAAAAGTGCATTGACTGCTGTTGTGGGATTACACCTGGGTCCCGTTGCCTCTTTAGCCCCCAAATAACACACAGGATATTAATTATGAAGCTGTTGGCTGTTTGTTATGGTTTCTAATTGGCTATCTCTGACTTAATTATTAACCCATAATTAAGATATATATTGTTATAAGTACTTATCTTTCCAAGGGCACAGCCTCATGCGTCCTCTTCCTGTAATCACATGGCAACCACTCACCTCATTATATTTCCCAGAATCCTCCTAGACTCCCAGTCCCACCTATCTTGCTTCCCTATTGGCCAACAGTGCTTTATTTGTATATACACAGAAAGACTTCCCCATCAGACTGCTGTCGTTGGGTGGGGAATACCATAAATGCCAACAACGTCAGTTGACTGCTAACCTTGCTCTTGTCTCCTGTGTTTCCACTGACTTGGTATATTTTATCTGTTATTGGGAGAAGAACATTGGATAGTGTTGGGGAAGTCTTATGCCAATAAAGCACTGTCTGGCCAATAGGGAATCTAGATAGGTGGGGCTAGGAGTCCAGGAGGATTCTGGGAAGGAGAAACACAGGAGAGTCAACATGTAACGCCATGGGGGTAGGAAGCCCGGAACCATTCTCCGGTAAGAGAAATACTTAGATTAACAATTATGGGGTAAATACTTAAGTCAGAGCTAGCCAGTAAGAAACAAGCAAGGCCAACAGCTTCATAATTAATACAGCGTCTTGTGTGTTATTTGGGGACTACAATGTGGCAGAGCCCAGGCGACCAGCGGGTGATATACCAAAGCGGCTAGCAAAGAAAAAGCTTCTCTTTACAATCCAGTATATCAACAGTTCTCAACTAGTAGGTGGATAGCATCTCTCTTTTCAGCTACATCTATGAAAATTGAGAGTCTGTTTACTGGGAACAGAGAAGAGCTGTATGGTTCTGTCAGGGTTAATTTCCTAGTGTGGCAAGTGACAGCACTGAACTTCGGGGTCAGGGGATGGAACGTGGTCACCAGTTTTGATCTTGCTAGGCCTGGATGCTGCCAGTAAGGGACCTGGCTATGTGCAGTGTATCTGCTAGGGATGCCTGATTCATCAATCCTGAGTGAGCAAGGGCCTTCGGAAATAATCGCAGAGATGCAACGTTTTATCCTCTGTTCAGATGAGGAATGAAGTGTCGCAGTGACTCAGCTGGATGCAAATGATTTTTCAGAAAAACGAAAGAGCAGAAGCCGCACTGCACGGCGTGGGCTTTCTCCTCCCAGAAATGGCCAGCTTGCATTTTCCCCTCTGTTGGTAATGGTTTCTCATTCCTGCCTATGCTAAAGCATCAGTTTGATGTGATGAGAGCCGCTACTCCTCCAGGCAATCCCAGGAAGCTCCCATGGGGTGGGGGATGGAAAAGCAGATGGCAGACACTAGGCTTCAGGTACTTCAGGGAAGGTAGGAAAGATGTTTTCCGGTGTGACCCATTTATAGGAAGGAAATACTTGGTTTTTTTTTGTTAATGTGTGTTTGTAATCTTGGTAAATTTAGCCTAAATTTAATGAGTTGTTTCTATGAAAAGCTCATGGACTTGAGAGTAACCGTTAACATTGGTACCATTGAGGCATGCATGTCTGCTGGTTTTTACAACAGTGCAATCAGTCAGCAATGATAAACCATCTCAACCATCCCTTAGCTTTCCTTTGGGACTGTTGGGATCCTCTGGAGGCCACAGAAGTATTCTAAAAATCTGCGGGGAAGAAAAATCAAGTGAATAAACAAATGGTGCTTGTAGGGAGAGATCTTAGACGGGCGTGGTCACAGGTACATAGGAGATATGGGGAGGGGGCAGGGGGTGGGTGGGGTGGGGTGGGAAGACACACGCTCTCTCTTGGGGTTCCGGTTGGGTTTCAGAGAGCAGCAGAGCACTGACCTTGGATTCTCAGCTTCTCATGTAAGTGACTTCTCCCTAGTAAAATATCATATGGCTTTTCCTATCCTGTCTAGGCTAATCCTCCTCAATAGATGCTTTTGTACATGTACGTTTTCTGAGGATGAAGTTCTGAGATTGTCACTGGACTCTAAAAAGGATGTGTGGAATAGCACGCCCAAAAGAGCTTG